ATTCAGGAGCATTTGATTCTAGTCTTTTAGTTTGCTCCTAACTTGCTATGCTACCATGAGCAAGTTAGTTTAACTACCTGGATTTTAGTGTTTTTGTCCTAAAAAACAAACAAAACAAAAACAGCATAATGTGGTTGCAAAATTTTCACAATGTACCCTAGCGAGTGCTAGTTCTTGAGATATGCACTCAGGAAAAGGAGAAAAAGAAGAAAAGTTCCATGGTCAAAGTGATTTGTAAAAAACGCCTACAATGGGTCATTCATGGAGATTTAAAATACCTAACTCTATCAAAAGCTCTTAGAAGTTCTGGGTTTTACTTTGCTTAAGCTAGCATTTCCCCACATTTTTTAACATGGGACATTTTTCCATGCAACATCTATAACACTATCTAACAGAGCAGAAAGAGGTTTGGAGTCTACCAAGCATGCCTTTGGATCTGGTTTCTGACACTCACTGAGCTTCCATGTTCTTACAGCAAAAAAAAACAGAGATAATACACTAGGGGACTGTTTTGAATATACAGTAAGGTCATGTATGTGAAGTCTGAGCAGAAGCCTAGGACACACTAGTTTCTTCTCTCTCATTTTCTCTATCCCCATACACGGTCATCGAATCCCTCCATTATCATTAAAAATATATTCTGTGTAGGGCTGTGGACTAGTGAAACATTTCTCATCTACTTTTTAAAAATAAACTGGTGTACTGGGTAAAGGGCCCAAAATCTAAAGTTGGTTATATAAGCTTCAGGTCAATTCTTGAACCCAGAATATGGCTACTTTGGCGATTTAGAAAACAAAATCATTAATTTAGAAATCCATCTTAAACTAGAAGGTCAGAAAGCCTATCTTAGATCACTGCCGGGGTGGAGGGGTCTTCCTAGTAAGTTGGCTGTGCTTACACTCAGTTGATTGTACTCACTAATTGTTATATAGGCTTGAGTCAACCCCATTCAATTACATGGGAATTGCAACATGAAATGCAGGTATTTTAAATTTGAATTTGAAAGTTCTGAGTCTTCAGCAGTCTCCATGGTGCTAAACCCAGTGAAGAGTTTTGTAGCTTTGTCTCATCTTCTTTTGGCCACTATTTGCTTCATAAAAAATTTCCTGTCTTGCACCTGTTCAGCACCATACTTTCTTGCTCTTCTCTACCTCTTTGGCCAGTTCTCTTTGGCTCCTCTAAAAACTGGAATTCCTAAAGGTGTACTGTTGCCTTTCTTCTCTTACCATCTGCTTTCTCACCCTTCAGGAGGTGAGTTTCACTCTGTGGCTTTGCAGATCATTGGGGCTCATGCCTCCCCCGACCACTACTATTTTGTAAATTTACCTTGCTTATCCAGTTGCCCCATTTTTACATCTCTGCTGTGGCCTCTCCATCATGGAAAGCTTAATGGCTCCAAATCTAAACTCTTAGTTAACTCCCCTTCAACCAAACCCTCTCTCCACTTTCATATTATCATGAGTGGAGCCACCAGACACAGATGCCTCTAGCCAGATGCCCAGCAGTCATCTTTAATTTCTTTTTACCTCAAACATCTTTCTTCTGCCTATTGCCACCAAGGTAATGTAAGTCACCACTATTGCTCACCCAGATCCGCTATGGCAATAGAAACTAAATAAAATGAAATAGAGAAAGATTACTAACAACAACAACACAGAACTGAGCTCAGTGGCCTGTGGACCACACCAAGCATTCAGGCATCTCTACAAGTGGCCTCTCAGATGAGAGGTGAGAGAGGAAAATCCAGAAAACATCGAAATTAATAATGGCAAAAAACCCAAATTTGCTGAAACCCACAAACCTACAGAATCATACCAAGTCATATGATAGTGAAAATGCCAAAAATCAATGAGAAAGAGAAAATTATAAAAGAGTTTAAAGAAAAAAGAAAATACAATGGAGCCTCAGTTCACAAACTTAATTCTTTCCACAATTCTGGCCACAGAGTTCATTCCAACTTTAACTGGAACCAGAATCTTGTAACAAATTCTGCGACCATAATCATGAAAAAACAAAAACAAAAACAAATCCCTGAACTGAGTTTCCACCGTATTACATAAAACAGAATGAAGCAGATTTTTCCTCAGACTGTGCTACCCAGAAGATAGCAGTACGACATTTTTTAAAGTAACGAGGTGAGAGGCGGCTAAGAAATTATTCACTTCAAATTTTACATTGAATATCTTTCAAATGGTATCTTTCAAAATAAAGGCAAAATAAGAATGTTTTTAGAGCAATAACAACAAAATTTCATTACCAAAAGACTTCCACTACAATAAATATCAAAGGAAGCTATCCAGATGGAATAAAAACATTAGAATATTTTTTATTATTTAAAGGTAGGTGGTGAGAATTTAATGTGTACTACAAATCATAGAATTTTAACAACAACAAAATTAAAGTGGAATAGTTAACATATCAATTTGGAATTGGGAACAAAATATTAAAATTAAAAGATGACCCCAAAACAAGAAAAAATAGAAGCAAAGAAGACAGGGAACAAATAGAAAACAAACAGCAAGATGGTGAAACTCTAAGTCAAGGCTGTAAGTCATTATATTCCGTGTAAATGGTCTAATTGCTATGGTTAAAAGACAGAAAATGTTAGGCTAGATAAATTTTGGGCTCATCTTTGCATGTCTACATAAAGCACATTTAGAAATAAGATCATAGAGTTAAAATAACATATTAAACACCTGCCATGAGAACACAAATAATAAGAAAGCAAGACTAACGATATGACTCATAGATGAAATAAACTGCGGAACAAGGGCAACTGGCAGAGGTCATGAAAGCTTTTTGTGGTGATAAAGAGACAAATAATCAAGAAGAAATGGCAACTGTGTGTGTGTGTGTGTGTGTGTGTGTGTGTGTGTGTGTGCGCGCGCGCGCGCATGTGGTATTTGATTACAGAGCTTCCAAATACATTGGGCAAAAACTGACAGAACTGAAAAAGAAATACACAACCCTAGAAGGATAGCTAGATATTGCTGCAGCCCACCCTGAGTAACTGATAGAAGAAGGAGATGTAAGCAATCGGCATCCAACACCACCTTGGCTCAATCAGCTTGGAACCACGCACACTGAGCAACTGAGTGCACACCCAGAATTTGCTGAGACCACATTCTTGGTCATAAAGTAAATCTCAATAAATTAAAAGAATTGTAAATTCTAAAAACTTCCGAGCTGCCCACCCAGGAAAAGGTAGTATTTGTATAAACGATGTAATAGAGGCGCATTCGTGTTGCAGCAGAGGATTATAACTTCCTCACATCACCTTTGCTTCAAAATTTTTTCTCAAACAACCCCCTATTTCCAGTAAGGCTCTGTAATGGGCAAATGTTAAACATGTGCCTATAAAAATAAGCATGTACCCTTAAAATGTAAATGTATATGATTCGCTTTCAATGTTAGGATTCAAGTGATATTTTTATCATGGAAGAAAAAAAGAAGTGCTATTACTTAAAACAAAAGCTGGTTTGAAATCCCTAACTCATTTGGGAGACCCATGCCAATTGGCACATTATAAATTTCTTCTCTCTGATTATTGTAACCATTCAACAGAACGGAAATACCGATAAATAACAATAACAATCACAGACACCACTTGTGACAGCTTCCCCTGAATGCTCACTAAGTAGCAGGCACTGTTCTAAGTGCTTTTCACACATTTAATTCTTGCTCCGAATTTCCTCCCATTTTGCAAGTAAGGAAAGGGAAGCTCGGAAAAGTGAAATAACTTCCACAAGATGATACAACTAGAGAACCGCCAGCACCAGAATCTAAACTCAGTAAAATAATTTCACCACGTAGCTTTCCATTTTCCAAACCAATGTCAGATACCCTGGCATTAGACATGAAAACCACACAATTTCCTACTTCAGCACTTTGTAAAGTGTTTAATTGCTTCTCTTCTGCCTTGACTTGAAATTTGCCTCTTCACTGGTCTGTCTTGTTTGATAAGTTCATCCAACATCAAGACTCTTTGTTCATTTTCAAAAAAGGATTACAATGATAAGCTTTTATAATTAAGACTATCTCAGCAGAGATTTCCTTTACCACAGTTCTCTTGCCTTTATCTTCTAATTATTACAGATGAATTTTCTGATTTTCCAAAATTATATTTGCTTTAAATACAAGTTACTAATTAACTGCTTACAAAAATGCTCTCTTCTCCTTCTGAACTGTTACATAATGGAAATCCCTCTTGCTCTAGTATCTAAAAGCAATGATGATTTGAAATTGAATCATCTAATAAAAATTTGAATAAAAGTACTCTATTTTAAATTGTCAACATTTGGGACAAAGGGACTACTTAAAATCTATCCCAAAGGTGAAATAAAAGGCTGCTTAAGCACAACAAAATATTTGATGTTGAGATATAAACAGCCCAAAGCCAAGTTGGAAATCTCAAGGAAATAGAAGGAAATGTACATATGAAAATATCACCTCTGCCTATTACCCCATTACAAAAGGTAAACTCACTTCAGAACGACATGACTGAGCATCTCTACAGTCTTTTGCCTTTTCCAAACAATTTTGCATGCATTGTCTGATTTTTACCATCCCCAAGCACCGTGAGACAGGCATTCTCATGATTCTTTCATAGATAACGAAGTAGAAGTTAACTGTCTAACATCACCCAAGAAAACTACCACTTATTAAGTGCCTACTAATGCTGAATGCATTCTACACTGAGGATGTTATCTGCTTTATCTCTTATAAAGGAGGCGTCATTGTTCGTAATTTTACAGACAGGGAAATGAGGATCAAAGCAATTAAGTGATTTCTCCCGACTCCCCAGCCCCCAGTGATTACAGCTTGATTCACACATGGGCTGATTCTGAGTGCCTGGCCTGGTCCCTTGCTGTCCTCCTTCACTGGATTAGTACAAATGTGAAATGAGGCAGGCAGACAGAAATATCCCAACACAGCAGACAGCATTGTGTCACGGCTCGCCAGCAGATCGTTCCTATCTTACAAAGCCATGGCCCACTTACTGGTTCACCTTGTCCCGTGCAGTCACCCCGGGCTGGCAAGACACCAAAGACAAGAGGAAGAGAGCAACAGCGATCATCTCATCCAGAAACTACCACCTTCTAAAGTTCACTTGAAGAAATACAACTATTCAGAGAGTTGGAGTAAAAGACACCTACAGGGTGGGGTCTTTTACATGTGTCTAATGTTCCAAACTAACAAAACTCTTGATTTCTGTTCAGAGGTGATTAACTAGTAACCAGGATATTGATTACTCAAATACCTTAAAAATAGACACCAAGATCCACAGCCTTTTAGACTTTTTGAAAAACAATAACCATGAGTTAATGAAAACTGACTTCGATCAGTAGCAATTTAGCAGATTTTTTTTTTTTTCAGATAGAAGCAAAAAAGCCAAGATCCACTTGCAGAATTCTTGGTGTTTTTGTGTGGCATTTGGAACTTCTGAGGTCCAATGAATCTGTTTTGCAAGACGGAAACAGATATATCAGCTCAGACATAAGCAGCCAGATAAAAGTAAAAAACTTGTATAATTACATGGAGGTTCTACTATATATTGCCAAACAGCTGGGGCCTGAGAGATGTCAGTGGACTTTCCACTTGTTGTACATCATTGGGTATCATTAAGAGCCATCCTGTTTGTATCTAGAGTAGACCAGATGTCTTAAACAGACAACTCCAGGAGCACTGCCTGGAATTATAAGGGTGATAAGCCACCACACATATGCACTGAGGATGCCATACCAACATAGATTCTCTTACTCTTCCACACATAAATTAAATTACCTTAAGCAAATAGAAATGGATAAGTGGCTAGATGGCTAGATAGACAATTAAGCACCTAGTATGTGGTGGGCCTTCTGCATGGCGTGCTTAATCCCGATAACAAGGCTATGACATGAAAAATTATTAACTCCACTTACAGTTGAAGAAATGGAAGCCCAAAGGCGTTAACTATTTGCCCAACGATATACAGCCACCTCTGTAGCCTTTAGAAGATTCAGATTCCGTCCCTAGCAGGGATAAGCAGTTGTATCATCACTAATCTCAAGTAAGTTATGGGGAGTTTTGTTACTGGCACCTCATGGGTAAAGGCTAGGGTGCTTTTAAATAAACTACACCGGACAGTCCCCATGGCAAAGAGTGAATCGACCCCAAACATCAGTAGTGCCTAGGTTTGGAAGCACTTCCTAGGAAGAGGCTGGCCTCCCTTCCTCTGCCCTGAAATCTTGGTGGATTAATTTGTCTTCTTTTCATGTGCGGACTAACAGTGTTGGCTTTCTTTTTTTTTTTTTTTCCTTTTTTTTTTTTTTTGGTACCAGGGAATCGAACTCGGGCGGTCCTTGGGCTTTCGAGGCAGGTGGTAGCACCACTGAGCTAAATCCCTGGCCCCTCAGCTTTCTTAAACTGTTTCCTTCTTGAAAGTTCTCCGGTGACTCTCCTCCTTACCCAAGAACTCAGGAACATTCAGGACTCGTCTTCAACCATTAGTCACCTCTCCCACCCGCATCCCGAGCACAGTCCCTTGACTTCTAGCACAGTCCTGTGTTTCCCTTTCTTTTGCTTTTCTTCCTTACTGCCTTGATCCATTGCAGATAAGTACATCCCAGTTAGGGGAAGCAGGCCACTAGCGTGTACCCAGCCTCTTCCTGTTTCCCTGCATTCTCTGCTTCCTGACTGCCATGAGGTGAGCAGCTTTACTCGACCACACCCTTCTACCATGATGTTTCTGCCTTAGAGCCAGCCAGCCATGGACTGAAGCCCCAAAACCATAAACCTAAATAAATATTTCCTCCTTTAGGTTGTTTTGTGTTTTTTTTTTTCCAGGTATTTGATCACATAAAAAAAATCTAGCACACCTTCCTGTCCTTTGTCACTGTTCTGATTTTGCTCACATTGGGTCTTTCACCAGAACAACCCTTATCATTCCTGATCCCCCTACCTTTCTGCCCCATGCTGTCTCCAAATCAAGTCTGTATCTCAGATTCCCAGCTGATGGTTCCGCTTGGAAGGAATTTCCTTGTTGTTGAAGCCTCATAAGGATGCTACCAGCGCTTTTAATTTTTGCCTTATGTTTTTCTGAGAGAATGGGATAAATGTGGAGAATGAATCTTTCTTTAGAGTAAGTTCTGTGTCTTATTCTTCTTTGTAATCACCCATGTCACTTACTAATGAAACATAAGAAATATTTGTTGATAGGATAAGAAAATGAGTCAATTAAGAGCAAATTACTATTTCATAATACTTTCAGGTATATTTTCTCTTTTAATCCTCAAAATAACCTTGCCAGATAGACATCATTAAACTGAGGAGAATATTGAGAGGCAGGGACATAGTGTTTAAGGAGGAAAAGAACAAAGATAGACGTACAACCAGGCCCTGCGCCTGCCATTGCAAAGGCCAGCTTAAGCCTCACAGTCATCTCGCAAGGCTATTAATACTAATGCAGTTTTGAAGGTGAGGAGCTTGAGATTCAGAACCATAAGTAGTTTGCCTGCAATCATAAAATAGGTGAGTCTCAGAGTCATGGATCTGTCGTCTGTCCCACTGCAAAGCTGGACATCTTTTTTGTCTGGTTGTCTGGCTGTTAAACACTTTTGTCAGGACTGAGGCTGGGTCTTCCAGCAACAGTCTTCCAGTCCCCTGCCCATTATGCCTTAGCGCTGGGTGACGATCATTCCCAGGGGACAAAAGAAGTAACATGAAGTAAACAGAGAAATGATCACGTAATGAAATCAAAAGGGAGCTGTGAAGTCGGATGGAATTGTTCCGCGTGTCTGTGAGAACCCACGTGTCTGTGGAGCATGAGCACACACGGGGATGCAGGGGAGGGGGTTGGGGGTGGGGGCCCCCCATCTGCTCTCAGTCCAAAATGTTCAACGATTAATGAGAAACACCAAAAATTTGTTAGGTTTGCATATGTGGATATCACCTTAATTGTGGCATTCTGCTATCAAAGATAGTTATTAAACACCAAGCAGAAGAGAGACGGTGAGGTGGCAATTCATTTTGAAAATTCATTGCCTGTCTCATGGAAACACTTCGCACTATCTAAATCAGCCTGTGAATTATGGCCTCCAAAGAGAACATGCATGCCCTGTGCTGGCTCAGACTGCCATTGCAGGACGACTTCCAGGTCTGTTCTGCCTGGAAATCTTTTAGAAGTTTTTTACCCGCTTCCCCTGTGCTGAGCCTAATCCAAACAGGAGGTCCAAGTTCTGCAAATCTAATGCAAAAGAAAGTGACTTCCAGGAGTGAAACACTGCTTCGGGTCAGAAAGTGTCTCTAACCAGGCACCATATCCTAGCCTTGGATTCCTCATCTGTGAAAACGGATAAAAGAACTCTTACCTAAGAGGTTAAGATAAACAGTGAATGAGGAAATTCATTCCCATCTGGGCTCTTTGAACAGCTATTTCTAGCTTACTGAGACAGTGCACCCCTTCCTTGGATCTATCTTTCTTCTTTCATGTGCGTGAGGGTTCCATGTAAGTACCGATAAAAGGAAGGAGGGGTAGAAAGCATGAGTCTGTCAAGGAGACTGAAGGAGGAGGAGGAATGTGGGAAGTTCATGCCCAGGCACTGAAAGCTGATTTTAAGTCCCTAGGAGGGCAGACGCTGTCAGCAGGAGCAGCTGTAGAGCCCTGGAGACAGAGCAGTGGAGAGGCTCACTCCCCATCTCTTCCATGCCCCAGTACCGTCCTGGCTCCTGGAGGGTTTAAAACCTTGGGAGGAACTTGAAGTAGCAACTTTGGCTTCACTTGGCCATCTCAAAAATGCCAGAGCAAGTGACATTTTTCCCAGGAGCTTACTGGCATTATCAGAAATGGCTAGGTTTGTCTGCCTCTGGGGTGTGTGTGTGTGTGTGTGTGTGTGTGTGTGTGTGTATGTGTTGGGCTGTGTGATGATATCCTGCTTCCTCAAAGAGAAACCTGCACGATATTAAGCATGGCAATGGCACAAAGTCTGGAGACAGCACCTGAGGGTCTCCTGCCAGGGCCTTCCCACCCTCCTCCGTCAACCCTGCAATACTCTTGTCTGTTGTACCTGTTTTCCTCCTGAATGCCGCTGACTGCAGTCAACAGACACTCGTGGTGGGTTATCCCGTGGCAATAAAGAGGGGCTGGGTTTCGTGATTAGTCTCAATCGGAGGCTCTACACTGGATGAGCTAATGTATGCCTACTGCTTTCCACTTCATCCCAAGCTTTGTGTTTGCACTAAAGGGGATGGGATGAGAAGGATTCCGTGCCTGGCTCATGAGAGTCGAAATTAAAGGCGAATTCTCAAAGAAGGCATTCAGCATTGCAAGCAGCTCTGGCCAAATCTGGGTGGTCCTTTGGGAAATCCATCTTGGAACTGGGCTACGATAAAAAGCAGTCAATTCTGAGCCATATCACACTGTTTGGGCTTTATCCGTCAGCCAAGTGTGTCCTCTCCGACTCCTTCACTCACAGCTTGGCTCAGGGCAGCCTCTGCTTCTGTTCCCAGACAGCCTGGCCACACCTCCTTCTTAAGAAACCCTGGAAGCCTGGGGTGTCCCTTATCCCACCTGTGAGTCCTGTGAGATCCCGGAAGCCAGGGCTGTGCCCAGCACAGAGCACAGGAAGTGGGTGAGTGAGCTTTTCACAGAGTCACCTGCCCCTCATGCAGGTGGCAAGGGAGTACCAGGTGTGCACTAAAACCAGCTAGAAGGTGGGTCTTGTACAGCCTCCAAACTCAGGCAACTCTAACCAGCATGCCTGGAAACCACCTTCTGCCTCTCCTGTCTTTTCTCCCACCCAACACCGAATAGAGCTGTCTATTCACTGTCTGTCCTCCCTACACTCTGTGATCTGTTCAAAAGCAGAGCTCATGTAGTACAGTTTTATGCAGTGATAGGCAGACTTTGGCTTTTAAATCCAACATCCCTGGATTGAAATCCCAACACCATTACCCAGCTGTGCAACTTTGGGCAAGTCATTTCACCACTCTGCCTTAAACACCCCTCCTGGATAGTGAGTGTGGTCATTAAGTTTTAAAGTATATATAAATTCTATATGTATACACACACACACACACACACACACACACACACACACACAAATACTTCATCAGTGTCTGCTAAATCGACCTGAGCAGATGTATCTCTCAAGACAGAATCATGATGGATCTTCTTCCTCCATGTGATCCTCTCCTTTCCACCCTTTCTGCCATTGTACTCTCTTCAGCGA